AAAGAGGAGAGAATAACCCTAGCAAAGAAAACAATGAGTGAAAAAAAAAAAATAATCTTGGTTATGATACCAACCACATCACTGCCTCCCCATATTATTTTAAAATTACTAAAAACAGAATGAAAATATTTTCCAGCTAATTCCATCTTCCTTTTTTGTTCCCTGTCAGTACAATCATCACTTAAAGCTCTGTCGACAGCTGCTGCCATAGAGCTGTGATAGATATGTATGAAAGAAATGCTATGTTTGTGGGAGACAACACAATTTTGCATCTTCTGGTTGGCTTTGATAGTCTACATGACCCCAGCAGAATTATTTTATTAGAACTGAAACCCATACCTGTCAGATCAAAGTTTCTTTCCACAGAACTAATGGAAGACAAAGTTGTGGTCACTTTATCCATAGGAAATCAGTTACTAAGCATCAACAGTGGAAGAAGCTGTGAAAATGTTAATGTTTTAACCTGGAAAAGTTTCAGCCTCCAGTTTCTGTTGTAACAGCTGAAACTTTCTTTCTGCCATGCAGTCTTTTTCCTCCAGAAGAATCAGGCACAAAACTGGGAGACTGCTCCCTTAATGGTCACCGAGATGACCAGACTAGGCTGTTGCAAAAATGTGAGGTTCTTGAGATAAAGGTAACAACTCCAGTGTCCAGGAATGGTCAACTCCAGCACACCAATTACAAATTATTAGAAAATAGCTTGTATCACAGAAAGATTTGATTGGATACAAGTTGAATACTCTTCTAGGTGTGAAACCTCACAAAAGAGTAATTTTAGTATGTCTTCAATGTATTGTCAATCATACTTTCAAATCACTGGAACATCAATTATTAGCAGAGGACCACGGCACAGCACAGAACAGGAAAAAAAAAAGGTTCTCCAGGGAACCTTAGCGTTCTTTTGTGGGCCAAAAGGGAAATTCAGGTACTACCTTTGTTCCTCAAGTGCAGAAGAGAAAGGAAAAAAAAAAACCTCCCACCTTTCTCTCTGGAAAATTTGACCTATAATACAGGAAGTTATTTCACTGGAGATGCACTCAATCCATTTTTACCTAAAGGATATAACTTATTTAAAAGATGAACACGCTAGTAAGGTGAGTTACTGTAACTTTTACGTTTTGACTTAACTTCTACACTTAAATACACTTAAATTCAGATGGAACTTTCCCCTTTCTTTTCTCCCAATACATTCATTTTTCTGTGATAACTACCTTAATAGATAAAAGAAATTGTTCAGATTTCACTATACTTTGCCATGCTACTTTCCACGAAACCAAAGAAGGTAGACTTAATAATTTTCCTTATTAAGGACAGACCAGTACTTGCAGGTACAGGCAAGAGCTGTTTCACTTTATTTGTACCTGCTGTTAATAGGGTTTGCATACCTTTATAATAAAAATAATGTATAATATCAGGAAGAAACACTGCCTTCACTGTATGAATACTAAAGATGGAAAAAAACCTGCCAAAGCTAAAGTTTTAGCTAAAGCTACACCTTTTTCTTAACAGTGAGAATTGCCCTACTGCTAACCTTTTATGTATTTAAAAAAAGAACAAACCCCAAAAACTCAAAAAAAACAAAACACCCAAGTGAATTCCATTTTCAAGTGAGTAATCCAATCCCACATCTGTAAGAAGGTAATTTCTAGAGAAGGAGGAGGAGCGGATAATCATATGCTGCTGTGAAGATATCAGTCTGAACTGCATCACTCATTTATCCCATGAGTGCAAAAGACACAAAGGACACCTACATAAGCTAAGCTACAGATGCCTCTGAAGTTTCTTTCCTATATTTCATTGCTCAGATTAAGAAAAAATGAAGTCACATTTTCTAAATTTGCAGAAATTATTTTATCATTCAAATAGAGATTTGAAATTATCCTTTCAAATGACAGGAGGACAAATTTCAGGTTGCTGTTTTCTATTTTCCCTCAACAAAGAAGTAACCACCTGCCTTGGAGACAGCTATGTGTATAAAGCACCTAATTTATACCAGAGAATTTAAACACCAGCTAACCATGTTTTGCTGCAACTGCTCTTTTAATCATTAAAGGCAGGTTACCACCTAACCATATGTATATATATGAACAGGAATCAAAAATCTTGGGTAATACAAGTTTTAAATATTTTAAAAACAGTCATTCAAAGATTGTTACCACTAATTAATAAATTCAAATAATTATTTGGGAATATAAGGTCAAAACCACTCCAAAACTTTGCAGACAGGCCACAAGGCTGACACTGAAACTGTTACAAACGCTACTGAAGATGTATTGTATATGAATGCAATATCATGTTTACCAGACCACTAGAAATTGATGTATATATTCTAACTATTAACAAGACTTATATTACCACTTATGCCAAAGTTTTGATTTCACTGTCCCTTTCTTTATTAAGGGAAGGCAACTGAATATATTCCACATTGACTTTCCAACATATCAGGGATTCAAGCTTGCGATTTTAAAGAGGAACGTGGATATTGATTTCATAGTACTACCAGTACCTCAGTCTCTTGTTACTCCTATTCTCTACTTTTTGGTACAGAAATAATATTAAAATTATTTTTATTATATTAGAAAATTATGAAAAAGTTATTTGCAGTCCTTTTAAAAAAGTTTTAAAAGGTAGCTAAAAAGTACATTAAAAAACTCACCTATGTCAGAAGTATCCATACAAGAGTTCTCAGGAAATTCCTTAAAAGCACATAAAAGGAATTTTGAGACCAGGTAACATGAGCTATATCAACCAGAGTGTAGAATTTTCTGTTCTCACTACTTGCTCAACTTTTTTTTTTTTTTTTGGGGGGGGGGCAGGTTGGCAGTGAAACAAACCCAGTCAATCATCTGACAATTGTCAAACATCTGACATCCCATTCTTCAGAATTTATTTTTTAAGAAGTCTAAATCTATCCCATCCAGTTCAGTCACAAAATTAGTGTATTGTGGGTTAAAATGACATCAATAAAATGAGAAAATCCTAACTAACATACATGTAGAACAAATAATTAGGAGTGGCCAGTGAGATGGCCAATATCACTCTTCAACTGCTAAAAAGATGGGGAGTCAAAATGAGTTATTCTAGGCAACCACAGATTTTACAAATAATAATTTAAAAAGTTGGACACACATATAGCCTAAATAAAGAGACACTTGATGCTTTAAAGCCTGTGTCCAACTGCTATATCTCCCTTTAAATAACCTTAAAAGAAGAAGAGAATTCAGCTGAAATCTATGGCTCATGTCATGGCTGTTATTCAATGCCCCAAATATCACAATGGAAGGGAGGATATGTAATGATATGAAAGCTAAGTAAAGCCTACCACATAGGCAACTTGAATAGGTACACAGTTAAAAAAAAAAAAAAGGCATCAATCCACCATCACAAAATACATTACACCACCATATACATAAGTCCAGAACTTGAATTCATCACCATCTCAAAGCACAGAACCTATCCGGGTAGGAAGCAACCAGGGGAAGTATACTAGATGATCAATGTTAATCAGAACATGAGAATTTTAACTTTACCCGAACATGTACCTGGTAAGTAAAGACACATCTTTCCTAAAATAATGAAACTACATATGGGGAACTACATGAGACAAAATATAAAGCAATTGTTTTATAAGATACCTGAAGCTGGAAGAACTGCAGTGAAAGAAAGCAGAACACCTTAAGCCCTTAATTATTTCAGAAGTACTTCTGAGAATAAAGTGATTTAATTCAGCAGGTCTTTAAAAACTAACTTTATGCCTATGGTACAGGACCACCTGCTCATGACTAATGTCTTAGCTTTTCACTACACAAATACATTTTCCTGAAGAGGCTTTATAAAACAAGATGCAATGTGGCATCCATACCTGATGCACTGTTGAATGTCCCTCTTTGAAATCACTGGTCTGTTGCTTTGATGTACCTTAGCATGCATAGGGCGAAAAAAAAATTCAATTTCAAATCGAGAGGTCACAGATGAATGTTGTATTGAACTCATTAATTCTTCACTTGTATATACTCTTATTCTGAAAAATATTCAAACATTTAACAAATGGAGAACATACATAGGACTGAAAGAAAAACTAGACAAGTGACAGAACAACATTCTAGTCAAATATGGCAGACTAATTCTGATCAGAGATGTACATCTACCATATTACATTTTCTTCTTAACCCATGAAGCACCACAGAAAATAAAATTTGCTCCTTTATCAGGTGATATCACTTGTAGAAAAGGAAGACAACTGCAAACTTTTTGCGCATTTTTATATGCATATGTTGAAAAGGATAAGAAAAAAAGACTAACTACTCCTGAAGCCTGTGGGTAGAGCCCCAAACCTCTGTTGCACCTTTTAAATGATTTTTAACAAGGGGGGCTTCCAAAACTGCTATGCTTGTCCTCCAGCACCAATAGACCCGCCCACAATCTTTGTGTCCTGTTTTCACCACCCCCCAATTTATTTCATAAGAAGCAGAAGAAATACAAAGCATGCAAGAGCTGTCTAATTTATCAGAGATCTCCCCTTTTTACATTTCAATCTATACTTTGTTCTTCATTAGCTATCTCAAACGGATTTAAATAAACATCAAAACATATTAGGCCCACAGAGAAGTAGCTATGTTCAAATGTATGACTTCCCCATAAGCTTATTTCACAATAAGCCTCTAAGCCAGATATTGTTGCCACTAAAATTACTCACTGAAAACTGTTGGTATCGCTGAAAAAAGTTACACTTCTAACCATCGCCTTGTTAGATTTAAAAAAAAGATATCTATAACAAGCTACAACCTCCCAAGTCTGTATACAGTGCATAAGATCATGATATGCATATAAAAATTACTGCCTATTGCCAGTATTGTTAATACTGCATAAGTTACAGAAATCTAATCTTTCCCAAAAGACAATATCTATATCCCCAAACATATGATTCTGCTGGTACTAAAGCTGTAGTGGGACTTCTCATTATTGGATGCATGTGATAGACTTAAGACTTAAACGATACATGTGCTTTAGCAGATAGTTTACCCTACTCAAGGCAAAGTTTCTGTTTAACGCACAAGTTTTTGTCTTTCTTTCTTCTGCATTTCTGTTTCCAGGTAAATCGATGTCAAATATCACAAGCGATTTACTTTTTGTGGTTAGATGGTGAGAAAACTTATAGCTACCTCAGGCACATAAGTATTACTTACTCCTAAAAACACTTCATATTATTTACTACTGGCAAGTATACATCTAAAGATTTCCAGTTTTCTGAAGGCTTAAAGCATATGGAAAGGAACCTAAAGATGTCATCTATTCCTTCTTCCATCTTAAAGCAGGCAGAACTATACCTAACTTACCTCTAGAAGTCCAACCCATTCTTAAAAGCAACTCCATAATCTCTGAGAAATGTATTTCAGGACTTCCTTATGTTTACATTTGCAAAGTTTTTATAATATTTAACCTAGAGGCTCTCTTTTGTTCTCCTTGCCTACCTCCATTTAAGTCTTACCACACCAGTGGCTCTACTAATTTTTTTATTTTTCTGACTCACTGCAGCTAGTCAAGCTGTTATTGAACACAAACCCAAGTATTCCACCACGTTTTATCAGTGTTGAACAGCGCAGAAAACCTGTTTTATGTCCTTTAGATACTAGACACCTGCACATATCTTCGAGCAGTGTGTGCTATTTTCACAACAGAGAGATATTCTTGGTTGGCTCCACCAGCCTTCAAAATTGCCTCTTCCTGCAATTGATTATTCCTACATAAGTCAATTACTTTGACCTTCTCTGCATGAAATGACAAAGTTTACTTTAAGTTTTAGCCCCAATTTGTGAGACCATCTTTCACAGTGGTCATGCCTACTTGGCAACTCCTCTTTTACCATTTACTTAATGAAAGTATAAACTAGTAATTTGTTTAGGACAAGTCCTGGAAAAAATCCCTTGCTTCCCTTCAGTTTGGGCACAGATCATTGATAATTATTCTAAGCACAGTTTTCCAACCGGCAGGAAACTGGGCTATAAAACCACTCTCTCATATAAAGTTAATGAAGCATATTATATAACTAGAAGGCTCTGACTTCAGCTTGTAACCTTCTCAGGAAATTTATGTTCACTATTTTGCAAAAAACTACAGTAATGCTTCCTTTAGAATATATTAGAAATACTTTTTTATTTTTTAGGAAGCTGAATCAAGCATTTTCCAAACATTTCTGGATTGGAAACACAGGAAATCAGAATAACACAGTAATGTCCCATTGAAATCCCTTTCTGAGCAAGATCTATGAAACATCACAGAAGGTGTTTTTGTTTCCAAAAAATTTTTCAAGGAAAGAAATAATTTTAAGTGGCTAATATATGACAGAAATATTGCTCTTGGAGATTGATATTTAACATAATCAGTCCTCCCATACTCAGAACTGCCACATATTTTTAAAAAAGCCCTCAAAAGATTGTCATCTTACCCAGTAAAACTTCATAGGAGTACTGGTCATTCTATCCAAAAAGCAAAAATAGATTCTAGCAAAATTTTAACTGCAAGTTGGAAAAAATAATGTAAGTTATATTCCAAGGAAAGGGCTTCATTAATAAGTATTTGGGTCTTATAAAGATATTTTAAATATTCACACTTAATAGCACAGAACTTTATGTATCCTAACTGAAAACTCATATCAGGCCGATCTAAAAGTATAGAATAAGAACAGGTAAAATTTGCACATTAGCTTTAATAAGCCATAGCCACAAGAAGCTTTTTTTGTTATTATTGTTCGTTTGGGGTTTTTGGGGTTTGGTTTTGTTTTGTTTTCTTCTTTTAAGGGTAACACCAACCACAACCAGTCAGTTCAAACACTTACTCCATGTAGTTTTATGTTTCAAATTTAAAAAAGTGAGTGCAAGATACTATTTACTTAAATTGAACAAAACCCATGAGATTCTATCTTTTAAAGCATATATAAATATACACGTATAAACACAAATCTGTAAAAGTGTATTTTTCCTTATAACAAAAGCTGTTAACACTAGTGCTATTCCCCCACCTTCAGCATTTAGTTAAATATTTCTTCCCTAGGATAACTTAAAACATAACTAAATAATAAAGACTTTGCTGAAGCTATACCAAAAGTTGGAAAAAAATACGCAATGTATCAATTTTTCTGCTTTTCTACCTTACCTGTAATGCAGTACACTAAATTTAAAATTAATTAGATCAAGCCTTCGTAGCATTAAAGAAACTCCAAGTAAATAAATGCCTTCAAGAAGAATGTCTAAGGCATTCAGAACTTAGGTCAAAACATAAAGATTAACAAAAAAATATTCCTAAAAGACTTCAAATACTGTATCTTTTAAAAAACTAAGTGCTAAGTGCTCTGTCTTTCTGAGTTTTACTGCAGATTGTAGCCAGTCTTCCTGTGTAGCCATTCAGACCCATCAGCATATATTTTCTAAAAATTAGAGGCAAAGGTCTGGACCATCTGAATCTTTTTATATCAAACCCTTATTTCCCAGTTCAACATTTTAATTTCATAAGCCGATTCAAAGTCTATACCTGAACCTTGTATGGGCAAACTTTTTGGTAGGATTGTAGAGCAAGAGACACTACGTTGTGTTTTGTCCTCAGATATTCAGCATAAAAGTTTCTCAGATGAATATCATAAAATAAGCAACACCAAAAAACCACCTCAAAACCTTAAGAAAATAAAGCCCAACATACCTTCGCTATACTACACATCATAATTTCCCACCATCATTTATCCTTGTAAAAACATGTATTTTATCGGAACATACAGCTCCTTTTCAAAACAAGGCGAAAATCTTCAGATGTCATACATGTCCAAGTGTGATCAGAATTACACTTCAATGTGCAGTCTTGATCTGACTTCCATCATGATACTTGATCTCTAATGAAATAACTGTATACTGCTTTTTCCTGCAGACAGCCTGATTCATTCAATATACAGAATAATCTAAGTTTTTGATACCTCATCATGCGATTTAATTAAATTATTTTAAGTAGGCATATTAAAAAAATATGCAATATCGAGTTATTTCCAAAAAGCTAGCAACTTCCAAATTTCTCTGCTTGTACACCCATGTAAGTCAGGGTTAGAATTTTTAGATTCAGTGAACATCTGACAAAACCGACAAATGCAACAAACAGATTATTGTTTAACGGATAAAGGCAGATTATTTTAACCAATTTGTGATAACAGCAAAATAAATTATGATATATTTACTCATCTTAAACATTTTAAACTACATTTATAAACATAGGTTTTGTTGGTTTTTTTGGGCAGTTTCTCCCACAAAAAACAGTAAGTATTCTAAAGAGTTTGGTGTAAAGCCAGGACATCTTCTATTAAGTCAAGACTCCTTGGATAATCTAAACCACTTATTTTTTTTAAACACTTTACCTGCATTCCTTTGAATTCCTCTAGTACACTGCAATTAGAAATAGGAGGGAAAAAATAGGTCAGAAGAATCTTAGAATAGTTAAGTTATTTTAACCAATGCCTTTGTTTGCTTTGGTATATCTCACAACTAGGCACTTCCTAAATAACCATTCAGTCTCCTTCAGGTTTCCCATGGCTTGACGAAAAAAGCCACAAATACATGGTAAAACTTACCTGGTCATTCACTTTTTGCCATACTTTCGCAGTTAAAATCACTACAAGAATATAAGCTACAGTTACCTTGGCCTACACAAGGGGCTGACACAGAGAATTCCTCTTACAGCCCTTAATGGATTTAATCTGTAAAGTTGTGCAACAATGCTTAGTAGATGATGCACAAGGTATTATGAGGAGCGGAAAAGGAAAGGGAAATACAGCCCCTTTTCTGTCTCCATTAAATCCATTCTTATTCCTCAAGACTGAATGTCAATGAATGTCATTCCTCATCCCCTCTGTCTACGGGGTTCAGAACAGCTCCTGGGCTAACTACCAAGGCACACTACACAACTTAGCTTTTTAGACAGATATTAAGAATGTAACTGTCAAAAGCCACCTTGCTGCTATGTGTGAAACATGAAGATTTTGATGAAATTCACTGTTGAGATCTTATGGAGGAGTTTAGGAAACAGAAAAAGAAGCGACCACTTGTTTAATATAAATATTCAGAATAAAACAATACATATCAGATGCCCAAAACAGTAATTGCTTTAGCCTGACACAGACAGCAAGTGCTGAGTCTGCAAAGATACTTTGATTAGTCTACCACTATTTTATAGAAAAAAAAAGTTTAGACAAGAAACCAGGAAGCCCTTCGGAACTGAAAAGCTGATTACCTGAACCAAGAGAAATTCATTCAATGTATGAATGTATGTTAACTTCAATTACAATATTCTGATGAGATCCAAAAGTAACTCTCCTCATCAGACAGCATTTTAAAAAAAAAAAAAACCTAAAAAAAACCCCACTATTTTTCTAGGTTTAGCAGTTGTGCTAACCACTGGTAAATGGTCATCTGTTGTAGTCTGTCTCATCTGACATTCTTAACCAATCTATCCTAAAACCCCATTTTAAAGCAGATGTTGACTTCATTGATTAATACTTCTTGCAAATATTATATGGCACAGCAAGATCAGAAAGTATTCCCATATATTACATTAAAAATAAGTTAAATATTGCCACATTTTGACTGCATAGTAGGACTATATCATTAGGTACCTCAAGTACTTTCCTCTTCCATTTTCTAAGGTTCTTGGTTGACACGTTCTCCCATCGTTTTGGTCCTAAGAATAACATGATATCAATACAAACATAGCTTTTCTTATAACACTACCTATACTGAGTATCATTCTAACAAACTTAAACATCAAGGAAAAATACATTACATAGTAACAAAATATTATCAAATCTGAAGAGCTTCCAATACAATTGCTGAAACAAGAACTTATAGGAAAACAAAGTAAGAGACTACTGTAATTTCAAGTTACTTGAGAAGTCAGGCAAAAAAAAAAAAAATTGCATGCCGAGTCTAACACCACTGAGCTAAAATCCAAAGAGCATTACAGGCCCAGATGCTACGAAGAGGAAAAAAAAACAAATTCTTTTACTTTTTAGATTTTATTTAATGCATGCAGATTACATGGTATCTGAGGTTACTTCCTCAGCAATGATTAAGGCTTTACAGAACTGAGATCCATATTCATTCCATATCGAATAGAGGTTACTAAACCAAAAGCATGACCAAGCCTTTATATATTCAAGACAGTGTATTGCAGTGCTGTATGCATGTTTCCTCCCTCTCCCAATGGACAATATATATAAAATGCAAACTTCCCTGTCTGTAAAAGCCTTTAAAAACTAAATCATATTTGGTGCAGTGATTACATTGGGCTTGACACTGTGGTAGTACTTTGTATGTACGTCCAGTAAGTTCTTTAGGAGAATTGATATGGCAATTTATGTATCATAATCCTCATTTCAGTGATGATCAAAACTGGCAGAACATTTAATTTCCCAGTAAAGCCACCAAGATACTAAATCACGAGTCCCACTAAAACCCTGAATGTATTTTAGAACAACAGGTTTTTTTTTTCCACAATAAGCTCTCTGTAAGCATTATCAACTCTATAATTGATCAACAGTTATAACAAAACACTGGAAAAATATGACATGGCATAATGTGGTGTAGATTTACACTAACCACATGAACATTCAATGAAAAGTTAGAGAGACTATCTACCCAGTCCACTGTGACTTTTGATATAACAGAAATTTATCAGACCATTGTATGAGCTTTCTGCTAATACCGCCTTTCCTCTGTTTCCCCTCAGTCTTCTCCACTTTGATTCTTCTTACAAGACATCCAAATACTAACCATTGCTATCGTGAACTTTGATAATAGCTCTTTTCTGTTGTCTAAAATAGAGCATGCAATGCAATGGAATAAAATGGTGCATATAGAGAAAATCTCCAGGTATTATATGCATATATCACATTTACAAAATTACATACCTTAGTGGACAAAATTCAATACCTGTTGCAATTAAATGTTACATAACTGCCAACAGTGGCATGCTTCACTATGTCTAAATATACAGCATGTAAATATTGAAGGTTGAAGAAGTTCTTACCCTCAGGCGTATTGTAAGTGAGAGTTTCCATGGAAACAAGTAAATCATCTTCAAAAGTATGGTTGTACTAAATAAAAAGGACCATTAAAGATTAGAATGAATGACTAAAACAATGGTTTTTAACATGCATTTTAAAATTGTATAAAAACAATACTTGTTTTGACCAAAATGCAAAATTATCGGTACGTTGTTTTATTGGCTGAAGTTAGAAGTGAGCAATCTGGAAATATTAACTCCTAGAGGAAATACATATATTTTGAGCACGTATGCACGTCATTCAATTTCAAGGTATAAGCCAGTTACTGACAAAATGGGGCTTCCATGAGTTTTCAAAAGTAGTTAAGTTACTCTGTAACAGAATTTTTTCCAAACTTCTCTAGTAACTGGAAGTAGCCACTTAGCATAGACCTACAGCTCACAACACATAAAAATATCCAATCTAATGGTAGGTAAGAAAAATGTTCTAGAACCAGGCTTAGCCTTATGCCAGTACCGAAACATTATCACAAAACATTTTCACAAACAGCAAAGCTAACATCCCTGAATAAATACACGCATTTGTGGACAGAGCTGTATGGTTCTCACATCTTTAACACAAAATGTCCCCAAAGTAAGGAGGATTCGTGGAGGGAGTCTCCTGTTTCCTTCTGTAGTTTCACTGAAAATACCCCATCTAGTATTAGCTAATTTGGGTTAAGGGCCCTACAAAGACAACTCGGACTTATATTTAAGTCACTTATTTAATACTGGCAATCCCGAATCTAAGTTTTATTCAAGGAGCTGGCTCCTTATGAGCTGACGCACGCCAAGGCACAGGAGTGCATGGCTCAGCACAAACTGCAGCGTGGCCACGGGCTTTGGTAGCCAAGAAAAACAGGAGTTTGCAACACCTCAAGAAACTAACCGACGAAGCGAATTTCAAGGTCAGTTACTGCAAATTAGTGCACAGAAAGAAAACTGCACCAGTCAAAGCTAACACAGCAGGACTCAGAGGCGGTCAGGAAGGCGGGAAGCGCTGCCCTGCCCGAGGCGAGGCGGGCAGAGGGCTCGGCGGCCTTCCAGAGGGACGCAGGGCGCCCATGGGGGCCCAGCCCACCCACGCCACACGCCATTTCGCAGAAGAAACCACCAGCGGCCTGCGCCCCTGAGCCAGCCAGGAGCTAGGCCCGGCGGCGGCGGCCCAGAGTCCCCACAGGGCACGGCCACGCAG